CTTCTGAGGATTAAACTGGACTAGATTTAGTCGCCCCCAATCCGAGACTTTGTTCAACAAAGACTCGACTTTAGACACAAGTTTGTTCCGGTACTCGGCGACGGTTATAAATGGAATGAGCTATACTACTTATATCTATAGATAATTTTATATTAATATAACAATTATCTACACTAACATCGAGATGCTAAAAAATCATACTACCAACTACTCTGAATTACAATATGTCATGTTATGCCTAAGTATTATAAATTATAACATTCTGTAGATAATATTATATATGTATGTATAATATCATGAATCTAGATAAAGTTAATATTATATTTGTAGTATTATAATGATTTTATATTGAACGTTGAAGTTTATAATAATATATTTAAATATAATATTTATATCATATAGGTATATATGTAAATAAGGTTGAGATGTAATTGCTAATTTGAATATCTACTTCTATCGAAAAAACCAACACCAAACTTTTTTTATTTTTTTTTCGAACACGCTAAGCTCCATTAAAATTTATAAAGGCTGCGAAATAATAACAATTATTGTAATTGTGTAATATGTAGATCTACCTCTCTTTTGTATTTTTTACTCACAATACTCGTATGCTTATGTGTGATGGTGAAACAGTTGTGGTTTAGTAATAGTGTTACTTCTTGTTACATATTTGTCCGTAGGTATCCCATAGAGGGCGCGTTAATAACCAGATTCGTGGATAATAATATCACGAAATTATGCTGATTGTAGTCCTTGTGTTTTGTTTGCTTTTTGCTGAGTGTAGTTCCAAATCCGCACTCATAATAAACCTTTTATTGAATTGCTTCCATTTTTTTTGGATTTGGTTTTCTTCTGATCTGAAGTTATAAGTTGTTTAGTGTATAATAAATATCCTTTGTTACATGTGTATTTATTGTAATAACGCGATATGTACACATGTTACAAAGGACCCTTTTTTTATAATACCATCGCAGTTTTCTTCCAATAATCTTATCTACTAAGTGTATAATAGTATGACTCGTATTATTTCAACTTTGTAACGATTCGATTATTGCAATTTTAAACTGCAGAATTTGTATAAAATTGGGAGTTCATATTTTTCTAGATATTATATAATGTAACAATTTTTTAAAAGCGGCATCTTTATAATAAAAACTAACACTTCTAAACTCGTTTTTAAATATAAATAACGAACACTTTTAAAATGGAATACATTTTGACAAATAGTGGAATAACAATTTATTTTAACTTTCTAAAAACGGAAGAAATAGCTCATAAAAATCAACGACACGCAAACATCGATTTGATAAAATATATTATGGGTTTAAAATCGAACTATTCACAACTAATCATGTCAATTCCGTTGAGCAATGCTGTGATAATATTAAAAAGAATACGATTCGAATTGCAAATTCGAATGCTTATATACAATAAACATTACTAAGATCTAAATATAATTAAATTATTACACGGATTTTCTCTATATGTCTCCAAGTCAACAAAAAATAAAACAATGAAGACACAAATGTACAACAGAAATCATACAGAAATCAACGTTTATCATACATGTATTAATAAAAATAAACAATAAGAATAAAATTCAATAAAGTTTCTTTTAAACAATATAAATTCATAATTATTTGACTTTTGTAAAAAAATATGAGATTTTTGTAATAAAACGCGTATGTGATAGCATTGTGTGTGACTTGTATGAGATGATAACTACGATGATATTTTACTAACTAATTTATTTGTGCGCTTGCAGTGGCGGAGTTCTCCCCCTTAAAATCTAAGAAAATGATACTAGATATATAATCTATTACAACCTTTTCCGACTAGTACTATGAATCACAATTATATCTTTTTAGCAAAACACGTCTTAACATTCCGAAATAAGATACAATTATACTTACCTATATAGACATTTTTACAAATATCCGTTGCTGCTATTGAAATTTAAATATATGCAACATTTGCCGTTTCAACTGTGCGACACATTAAACGAAGTTAAGTTAAGAAGGCCTTCCCCATTTATTTGTTCATAGGGGGATATATGCCATAGTTACCACGCTTGGCAAGCGGGTTGGCAACCGCAGTTTTTTTTAATTTTTAGCCGTTATTTGGTAGACTCTGCTGACCATCTCCTGATTTGTTTCCCTCTGTCGCCTTTTACGGCACCCACAGGATAATATGGGAAATATTGCATGTGTTAAATTCCATAACAACTCGGGATAAAGCAGTACAATAGTACAGGGTTTACAGTGAACAGAGTAATATTAATGCAAGCAGGGTAATATGGTGATATGGCTAATGCTGCCGGACCGTAACGTAAATTTCCGGAACGCTCCCGGACCGTAATTGATGGATACATTGCTCATCAGCCCATATTAGGCTCTGTAGCTTTTGGTAGTAGGTTTCCGTTGCGTTAAAAATCACAGATCAATCATTGTTAGGAATTCAGCTGCACTTCTCCCTAATTATTGAAGTTGAACATATGATCAAATCATTTATAAATTATATATACTTACCTATATCGACTATTTACAAATATCCGTTGCTGCTATATATATACACACGAAAGGAATTATACACGAAGGTTAATAATTCGATATCAACGTACGAATTAACTGTAGTGGCAATTCGAAATGGCTCAATAACGAACTGTCAGAACAGTTGTAACGCATCGTTCCTACATACTAACACCTATAATATTTACACTTATTACAAACGACATTCCCTTTCAAATGTTAGTGGCTATAAATATATGTTTATAATGCTACAGTTTTAGATAAACAAAGGGAAACTATAGTGAAAGGGAGCTAATATCCCTTCCTAAACTATTTTGTAAGAAATGAAGTACTAAAGAAAAAAAACATATTAGGATCACAGACAAGTTAGAAAAATTAAAAAGTTTAAAGTAAATAGAAAAGAAAGGAAAAAAATTGGAATACGACGTAATTATTGACATTAAAAATGATATAAATGCATAATTTATTGTGAAAAATGAAAGGTAACAAGAAGGAGACGTTGTGCCTAAAACTAAAGTTTTATTGATTCTCAGAGATTTCAGGTGGTAGACAACTCCAAGCCGTTGACAAAAAAAGCGGATCCCTTCTACAGTTATTTTACTCTGCGTTGTCAATTTCCGTTGTTCACCTTCGCAAAATCTAACCAACTCCCGCGTTTAATAGCTATGTACACGTGAATTGTTTGATAAAGAATATTTAATGATTATGAATGATATTTTTTTTTAATTTTTGGAATTTTGTTAACCATAGACTGAAATGACGGTAAATGTATTTACAGTTTTAATATAGCTGCCTAAATTGAGCATGAATATTCCTATTATGTAAAATTTTATTGAATTACAATATTTACAACGTATCGTTTTTACATTCACTACACGAAAACGACTTTCCACTTATATTAAACTATGTAGTAATTTTAAAATTGAGGATATACTTTATAGATTATAATTAAAACATCTTACACGCTATGTATAAAATCTAATTCAAAGATTTTTTATGGTTCTTTTTTTATGTACTAATTTATATATATCTTAACACTAATTATTTATAAAATTTTTTTGGGGTTTTTTATTATTTTAATTAATCTAATTCCTAAATGCGATACTAAATGATTTGGAGATGACAGTGTTCTTCTTTTCTATGCTGGTGATGATGTTTTGAATTTTTTGACAACTGTTTCTACGGCTTCCCAACACAAAGAAGTAAAGCTGTAAAAATAGTAGTAACTGAGTGACAAGCTTGCAATGCATTAGGGCGTGCATCGTTATCATCATCATCATCATCATTATAGCCCTTCACAAGTCCATTACTGAACATAGGCCTCCCCCAAGGAATGTCACAAAGCATGGCCTCGAGCCACTTGCATCCATTGACTTCCTGCACGTCTTACCAGGTCGTCACTCCTTCTAGCGGAGGACGCCTTACACTTCGTCTGTCGGGTACGAGGCTGCCACTTGAGAACCTTTCTTCTCCATCGGTTGTCGGTTCTTCGAACGACCTCTCCAACTAAACGTTTAGGTTCAGTGTGCCTCTAACCATTCGGTGATCGCTACCAGTTTTCACCCTCGCGATCACTGAGACACCACTGAACAGTTGTCGTCTGGTCGTCATAATGAAGTCAATTTCATTTTATGTCGAACCGTTGGGGCTCGAAAAGGTCCACTTCCTGTGATGCCGCTTCTGGAAGAAAGAGTTCATCATAAAGAGTCTCTCTTTCTCTATAAAGTTAGCTTTTGGGTTCCGTTCCTAATCCAAATTTCCCTACTTTCAGCTCACTGTTCTCTCTTGTGCCTAGTTTTGCGTTAAAGTCTCCCAATAACACCGCATAGTGGGTTTTGGAGGAATGCATGGCTCTAGAGATATCCTCATACATTTCCCCGACCTCCTCATTGGGATGTGCCGAGGTTGGTGCGTAAACCTGTATGACCTTCAGAAAATTCCGTGAGGTGATTCTGAGTATAAGGTACGCAACATTCTTCGACACACTCCCAATCGTCAACACAAATACTATTGCATAGCCAACGTAAATTCTATTGCAATTTTATGTATCGTGTACCGATTAATTTACTCAGCCTTGCTTAAGAACTTTTAAAGCCTAGCATGTTTGTCATGCACGTCTAATGCTCCTCTGCATGCTCAACACTCAGTTGCTGCACTTAAACTACGTTTATCACATATCACGTTCTATTTCAAAAATATTAAATCAAATAATATTATCAATTAGGGAGGCGCGGCGGACATTCCCTTGCCCTAAAACCCTCTCAGAAATGAGAGGAGGCCTGTGCTCCGTAGTTGGACGTAGGAGCCTTGATCTTTTTAACTTTAAATCAAATATATCAATAATTAAAAACCTAATAAACTACAAATAATGAAATAAACTAGAACTAATATACTAAAACCTAATAAAGAGGAGACTAGTGGAATGACATGTCATTAGATAGTGGAAATACTTTCAACAAACAAATGGTAAAATTATCTGTTATTTGAAAACTCCTTGGTTGGTGGAGGGCCAGATGAATCATGGAAGTGGCTCCGTACCTGTAAAATAAAACGGAAAATAATATTAAATTCTATTTCACATAGAAAACAGTCACAAAACAGTTGAAGCCCACCTAGATCTATATACTTACATTATACACTTGTTTAAGAATCAAAATGCAGATATGTTGTATCCTATGAGAACTAACATAGAACGCTTCATTATCAGTAAAAAGTATGTTCAGTTTTCGTCATTCACCTGACGGGCTATACTTCTATTTTGTCCTTTACCAGTCATTGATTGAGAAATAAATATTAAAATTAAAAAAAAAAAAACTAATCCCAGGTCAGGCCAAAACAATCAAGTTAGCAGATTTTTCTGTAAACAAATTTGCAGCCCGGAGTAAGGAAGTTGTCAGTGTTTTAATCCCGTGCCTTGGAAAGCACGGTTGTGTCGGATTGCTATCCATTTGGACTATTCGAGTAAGGACGCTGAGGATGCACTTGTACCAGTTCACACACTCGCGCACTATAATCCTGTCTCTTGAGATGGTAAGTACTAGTTGTGATTGGCAGTTGTGACAGGGATTTGGTTTGGAGGAAATCTTTATAGTGCGCAAAGGCGTTGAACCCTTTTAGCCCTTCGGCAGCCCATGGAATATTTAGTTGACAAAATTGTGGAAAAGGCTGTGTGTTATATATAATTAGAATGTACATCTGAAAATCAATCACTTATGTTTATTAAAATATTAACTTTGATCTGAACTACATCTATCTCTAAGCTAAGGGTACGCGTACACCTAATCCGTCATCGGCCGAAGTTTACTCGGGTGACGACGGCCGAACTCGGACGATCGAATCAAACACTTGTAAAAGAAAGAGAGTGCGTACACAAACATGACCGTCATCGTCCGATAACGCACGAAAACGGCCGATCAACCGTTGAGTCCGAACTTGTTGGAATTTCTCGCCAGATTGCCGGCGTCTACAGTGCAAATTGAGTGTATTTATAGTTTAATTTAATCATTCTGTCTTTATTCTGTTGTTTCTGTCAGTGTTGTTATCTACCTAAACGACTATGGATATTGAAAAATTAATTAGTTGTGTTTATAATAGACAATATAATAGACAATTACAATAATCGAGAGGTTTCGAAACGGTTATGGGCTGAAGTTGGTTCGGAAATGGATATAGCGGTTCCAGATATTTAAAAAAATGCGTCTTCACTCTGTTAAGCAACACAGTCAACTACAGAACACCGGCAACGTCCAATGTCGGCACACGTGGTATACTGTTGCAGTGTAAGCACATACACGTCCGAGTAACTCGTCCGGGTAGTTCTGTCCGCCATCGGCCGACAAAATCGGTTTTGGTGTAGACGTACCATTAGGCTCTAGGCTTCTGAAATTAACTAGAAAAGAATTGCTAAAAAACTTACTTGAAGATGTACAGCTAGATCCATTACAATATGGACTAGTGTTGGATGTTCAAGCAGGTCGTCTGGTAGCGGAGGCGATGAACGTGGAAGGTTGGATATGGCGCGGAACCCACGATGCATTCGCAGCAATACCTCGCAGAATATATATCGAAGCAATATGAGCCGCAAGAAATCGTCCGCCATAAAGGCAATAAATGCGGGGTCTGTAAAGTTACATAAAAAAGGTCAAATATTTAGAAACGTCGTCAAAATAGAATCTTCTGCTTGTAAAAGTGTATGCTGAGGAAAGAAGATTTTTTGTACCTTACAAATCGACGCCAACCTAAGAAATGCTTAGAGCTGTATTCTCTACATAAATAGAAAGAGGCAGGCTTGTACGTGGCAGAGCCATTCTGCAGCTATGTTATTCAATTCAATTTATTTATCCCTTTCCCACTTACTGGCTAATTTACAGTAACAATATAGTAAGGACTTAAATGATGTGAGAGACTGGAGCCTATTAAAGGTTTTGTAAAAAAGTGTGTGTGTATTTATGTAAGCACGAAAGAAGTTATACTTCTTTAGCGCAACAAAACAATTATACCTAAAATAAAACACATTTTATAGATTCATATATATTTGAGTAACTACCTTGAATATAGTTATCAGTTCTTGACAGACAATTACTCACTAAAGTGATCACTTTAGGGTTTCAGTGTGTGCGCGCATCGTAACTTAATGCTGTCGTTTTTAGGTGTCGGTATGCGCGCGCATCGTAAAAATTCAATTTCATCTTTTTTCTCAAATGCACTAAGAGAAGTATAACTTCAAAAACTGAGTAAAAGGTCACTGGCGACACCTCGCAGATATTGACATATTGAAGCACTTGAATCTTAAAATGCCGTGTAGTGGCGGTTAAGAATATCCACTACCCCATATCTTCCCGTGGGTGTCGTAAAAGGCGACAAAGGGAAACAGGCAGGAGATGGGCAGCAGCATCTTACTGGTAACGGCAAAAATACAATAAAAAACTGCGGTTGCCAACCCGCTCGCCAAGCGTGGCAACTATGGCTATATACCCCCCATGATGAAAGTTACGAAGAGACGGCCCCCAGTCCCCGGCGGCCCCGCTATTCCTGGCTACGGTAGCGACCATGGTAACGGCGGGGCAGGGGGTGCTAAGAATCTCCGGTGGAGGTTCGGTTGCCACCTACGACGACTAGACCTGGCAACATACAACGCACGCACCCTGAGGACTGACGAGAAGATTGTGGAGCTGGAAGAAGAGATAGACAAGTTACGCCGGCATATTATAGGATTACCCGAAGTCCGAAGAGAGGGGGAGGACAAAGTAATCCTCGAATCCGGCAACTTGCTCTATTACCGGGAGGGCGACCATCTGTTCCAAGGAGGTGTCGGATTTATCGTCCACAAGTCTCTTGTTAACAACGTTGTAAAGATTGAGAGTGTGTCGACGAGGGTTGCGTACCTTATACTCAGAAACACCAAACGGTATTCGCTGAAGGTCATACAGGTTTACGCAACAACCTCGGCACACCCCGATCAGGAGGTGGAGGAAATGTATGAGGATATCTCTAGAGCCATGCATTCCTCCAAAACCAAATATACGGTGTTAATGGGAGACTTCAATGCAAAACTAGGCACAAGAGAGAACGGTGAGCTGAAAGTAGGGAAATTTGGAATAGGGCATGGAAACCCAAGGGGCCAGCAGCTGGCCGACTTCATGGAGAAAGAGGGACTCTTTATGATGAACTCTTTCTTCCAGAAGCGGCCCCACAGGAAGTGGACCTGGTCGAGCCCTGACGGTTCGACAAAAAATGAGATTGACTTCATTATGACGACCAGACGACAACTGTTCAGTGATGTCTCAGTGATCGCGAGGGTGAAAACCGGCAGCGATCACCGAATGGTTAGAGGCACACTGAACCTAAACGTTAAGTTGGAGAGGTCTCGTCTAATGAAGTCAACGCTCCGTCCCCCTCGTGCTCTAATCCAGAGTCCCGAAACCTTTCAGCTCGAGTTACAAAACCGTTTTCAGTGCCTAGAAGACTGCAATGAAGTGGACGATATGAATGACAAGCTCGTGGAAACTGTCCATGCGGTCGGAGCTAAGTTCTGCAAGACCCGCCGCAGAAGAACACAAAAACTCTCCGATCACACTCTTAATCTCATGGCTGTTAGACGGGAGATGAAGCTACATTCTTCAACAGATTTGACAGCATACAGGCAACTGAACAGACAGATCTCCAAATGCATGCGGCGGGACTTACGCAACTTCAATACAGCTCGTATTGAAGAAGCGATCGAGCGGAACCAAGGCTCCAAAGTCTTTGTCAGAGATCTGTCTGCCAGAAAGAGTCAACTGTCAAAGCTGAAGACAGAGTGTGGCAGCATCGCTTCCAGGGCACCTGAGATTTTGAGTGAGATTGAGAGTTTCTATAGGCAGCTGTACACGTCATCGTTGGAGCCGCACGCAAGTGTGAGTAACGATCCAAGAGCGAGTCTTATCCGTCATTATTCCGATGATATCCCGGACGTCAGTCTGAACGAGATTAGAATGGCTCTCCAGCACTTTAAAAACGGCAAGGCCCCAGGCGAGGATGGAATTACAGCGGAGCTTCTGAAAGCGGGTGGAAAACCGGTACTTGAAGTCCTTCAGAATTCCGTCCTCCATGGTGGCATTACACCGGAGGCGTGGAGCAGAAGTGCGGTGGGCTTGTTCTTCAAGAAAGGCGACAACGCTCTCTTGAAGAACTACAGACCGATTTCCCTTCTGAGCCACGTCTACGTGCAGTTTTCGAGAGTCATTACGAATCGTCTCGCGCGCAGACTTGACGACTTCCAGCCTCCCGAACAAGCCGGTTTCCGAAAAGGCTTTAGCACCGTAGACCACATACATACCCTTCGGCAAATTGTATAGAAGTCCGAGGAGTACAATTTGCCACTATGTCTGGCGTATGTGGACTATGAGAAAGCCTTTGATTCCGTCGAAATTTGGGCGGTGCTGCAGTCCCTTGAGCGATGCCAAGTTGACTGTCGGTATATCGAAGTGTTGAAGTGCTTGTACAGTAGGGCTACGATGGCTATCCGAGTACAGAACCAGAGTACGAAACCTATCCAATTGCAGAGAGGTGTAAGAAAGGGTGACGTCATATCCCCGAAACTCTTTACCATTGCATTGGAAGATGTTTTCAAGCTTCTGGACTGGAAAGGATACGGTATCAACATCAATGGCGAGTACATCACTCACCTTCGATTTGCCGACGATATAGTCCTTATGGCAGAATCGCTGGAGGACCTAAGCAAGTGTTTCTCAACGGATAGGTCTTAAGATGAACATGGACACAACGAAGATCATGTTTAATGTCCATGTCACACCTATGCCGGTAGTTGTTGGGAACACTAAGCTCGAAGTTGTTGACGAGTATGTTTACCTGGGACAAATAGTCCGACTAGGTAAGTCCAACTTCGACCGAGAGGTCAATCGACGGATTCAACTCGGTTGGGCAGCGTTCGGGAAATTACGGCACATCTTCTCGTCAGGTATACCTCAAAACTTGAAAACGAGACTGTACACCCAGTGCGTGTTGCCAGTGATGACATACGGAAATGAGACGTGGTCCTTCACTGCTGGCCGGATGAGGAAGCTCAAGGTTGCTCAGCGAGCTATGGAGAGGGCTATTCTCGGAGTTTCTCTGCGTGATAAACTCAGAAATGAGGATATCCGCAGTAGAACCAGAGTGACCGACATAGCCCAACGGATTAGTAAGCTGAAGTGGCAATGGGCCGGCCATATAGCTCGAAGAACCGACAATCGATGGGGAAGAAAGGTTCTCGAGTGGCAGCCTCGTACCGTCAGGCGAAATGTTGGGCGTCCCCCCACTAGATGGAGTGACGACCTGGTAAGATATGCAGGAAGTCGATGGATGCAGGTGGCTCAGGACCGTGTTTTGTGGCATTCTTTGGGGGAGGCCTATGTTCAGCAGTGGACTTGTGAAGGGCTGTAATGATGATGATGATGATGATGAATCTTAAAATGGAAATCATATGTGTTTTCGGTAGTTATTTTACAAATAGGATTATTTTTAAGATTTAGAGATTTAGACAAATTAATTTTTATTGTTTTGGTTGTACCCCGAATGGATTAGCTTGACTGGGAAGGGCCACGCTCTCACAAAATAGCAGCTTCACGTTGCTGTGTTTTGTATGGTGAGTGTAGAGAACCGGAGAACCTTTTCACTGGAAACGAGGCATTTCATCTTGGTGCTGGGTGACAGTGCATCAGCATTTGGATTCTTAGCGGTGCTAGATGCCTGTAGGCCGCAGCATCCGCTTACCGAGGTGGACTATGTGCTCGTTTATAACCCTTATTCTATAAAAACAGGTACATAGACAATTAACATTTATGTAAGCCATAATGAACGATTATAAGTAAGCCCCTAAAATTTGCTGTTGACCATTATCCATTTATTTTATGTTTATTATTAAAAAAATATTTAAAAAGGTATATGTATAAAATTGTAGCGGAACTGTAAGAATATCCACTACCACATATCGTCATGTGAACGTCGTAAGAGGGGACGGTGACACTGAAACAGGCGATGGGTGGCAGCATCTTTCTGATAACAATGATAGTTTGCCAACCCGCTTGCCAAGCGTGGCAACTATGACGAAATCCTCCTATAAGATACCCTTTTAGGGAGGCCTTTGTACAGCAGTGGACTTTTAAAGGCTGTAAAGGATAAGATGGATAGTTTAGTTATATCTAACGCTCTTGAGCAATATTTGTACGTTTTTTCAACAATTTGCCGTCACGACGAAGAAATAATAATAAAAGACTTAAAACAACCGTTTTTAATTTTTAATTCTAAAATAGTATGTTTTTGTGGCCCGAACTTATTGATTGTCGGTCGATTAAAATAAGTCAAAAAATGTATAAAGTAGATCCGATGTTGGCTGTAAGTTTATTTCTTAAGTTCATATACATTGTAATTAGTGCTTTGGATCTTGTCATAAATAAATAAAAATAAAAAATGATAACAATTATTACATGTAAAAAAAAGAAATACATCAAAATATTTTTTAGTTTTCATCTTTAAAATGGATACATTTTAAAGATGAAATCATCCTACGGAACGCACTTAAAGTTAGTGCGAAACCGAAGTCATCTTGATAGTACTATTATACATGCACTTTATAGGAAATAAATGTACTCACCAAGTCTGTGTCTCAGCATGATGTGAGATGTTTCTATAAGGAAGGTTTCTATGTAACTCTGCGCGCGCTCCCATTGAATAAGTGATGTTGCCTCAATATTGCAGATAAAGCAGAAAGCGGAGAGCGGAGAATGGAGGAACAGTGTAAACAGGCTGCCGTTCTTTCTGTGTTCTGCTTTATTTGGACAAAGATAGCACAGTTAGAAATTCGTGAAATATTCCCAACATAAAAGTAATTAAAAAAAACTCCGCAATTTCTGGATTCGCGTAATGATTTCTTATATTTACGCGAATACAATACATAGAATAAACTAATTTTACGGATTCAATCGCGTTTGCTTTTAAGTTTTTTAAATCCCTAGATTTCGGACAATTTACAGCACCCATGTTCATGGAGGGGACTGAGGTATTTGACGTTCTTTTTTTATAGGAGAGGGGGCAAACGAGCATGCGGCTCACCTGATGGTAAGTGACTACCGCCGACCATGAACAACTGCAACATCAGGGGAATCGCAGATGCGTTGCCGGCCTTTTAAAAAGGATTAGGCTCTTTTCTTGAAAGTCCCTAAGTCGTATCGGTCCGGAAAATTCGCTGATGGTAATTGATTCCACAAGAAAGTCGTGCGAGGAAGAAAACATCTTCTAAATCGCACAGTGGTGGACCGCCAATCATCCAGATGGTGTGGATGGTATCGGGAGTTCTGCCGCGATGTGCTTTCGTGAAATTTGGCGGCTGGGATTAATCCGAATAATTCCTCAGAGCACTCCCCATGGTAGATGCGAAAGAAAATGCAAAGGGATGCAACATCTCTTCGCAGTGCCAATGAATCGATCCGATCGGAAAAGACTCAGTCGTCGACGATTCGAACCGTTCTGCGCTGGATGCGGTCAACTGGAAGGAGCTGGCACTGGGGAGCCCCTGCCCAGAGATGGGAACAGTATTCCATGTGAGGCCGAACCTGCGCCTTGTAAAGTTGCAGGCGGTGTGCCGGCATGAAATACTGTCCCGCTCTGCTGAGCACGCCAAGCTTTTTAGAGGCCAATTTGGCCTTCTCTTCCAAGTGACCACGAAACTACACGTCACTCGATATGTCGACTCCAAGGATTCCGATACTGGCTAAGGCAAGAAGGGGAGTGCCTTGAAACTGAGGAGATACGACAAAGGTGTTTTTTATAGCGGTAAACGCGCAAACTTGTGTCTTCTGAGGATTAAACTGGACTAGATTTAGTCGCCCCCAATTCGATACTTTGTTCAACAAAGACTCGACTTCAGACACAAGTTTGTTCCGGTACTCGGCGACGTTTTCCCGAGAAATATTGGCACGGCCGGTGTATAGAGCACCACCAGTGCTGTCATCCGCATAGCAATGAATGTTACCAGTTAGCAACATATCATCAATATGCAGAAAAACAGCGTTGGTAGCCAGCGTTAATAGGCTTGTAGTCGGAGCATGCACCGTCTACAACGACCTTGATGCTCCGATCTGCAAGGTAGCTGGTGATCAAATTGCACAATTTCTCGGGAAGCCCATAGGAAGGGAGCTTCGAAAGAAGCGCTTTGTGCCAAACCCGATCGAAGGCCTTCGCAATATCCAAACTAACGGCCAACGCCTCCCCCTTCGACTCTACTGCCTCCGCCCATCTATGGGTCAGGTAGACCAGAAGATCACCAGCTGATCGACCCCGACGAAAACCGTATTGGCGGTCACTAATCAGCTGACCGTCAAGGTACTGAGATCGCATGAGCTGGCAGTTAATAATAGATTCCATTATTTTGGAGAACAAGGAGGTAAGTTCTGATGTCATAGTTAACGATCTACTAACTTCTCCTTGAAACCATAGTTAGTTTTGATATCCAGTCATTACTTACATGCCTACCTATTGAAGACTGCATCCCAATTGTGACTAGGAAGCTAGAAAAAAACAATGTTTCCGCAAAATATGCAATATTATGCAGACATTGCGTCACACCTGACTTTCTTTTGTGGAAGGAAGAGTTCTGAAAGCAAGTAGATGGTGTGGTGATTTTCTCATGTTTATCCCCCATACTAACCGATATTGTAACGGTGAATCTAACCACCATCCTTCACAGTTCGCTACTGTGGGAAAATCTTTGTTTCAGAGAGCACAAGGGATCTGTGACAGTAAAAACCTGGCCACCGAGATGTCCGAGAGAAAACGTCAAGCAAGTTTAGCACAGCAACTAGCTTCGGGTCCCGCGCCTACGTCACAGTGACCGAATGAAACGGGCCACAGTTGAGCGTGTGCATGCTCTACTACCATATATCAAAGTAGTCATAGATAAGATTGACTAAATCTTGAAACGGACTACCATAAGAACAGTGGTAGAGCCACGTGGCGGCTTTTGCTGTCGCACGGATGGGCCGGCTCGAACCGGGGTGGTACCACGACCTCACAGAATACCAGCGTGAAGTAGAGGTTTACCTCTGCGTTTCGCTTGGTGAGTGCAGGTGGCTGGAGGCCCTTTTTACTGGAAATGAGGCATTCCATCTTAGTCCTCACGGGTGACAACGCATCTGCATTTTGATTTGTAATAGAGGATAGATGTAGATGTCTATAGGCCACAGCAACCACTTACCATCAGGTGGACTGTGTGCTCGTTTGTCACCCTTATCCTATATAAAAAAAAACAAAATTACTGACACTTTTCTATAAATTAGCCAGTGATATTTTAATTTTTTTTATCGTTAAACTGCTAAAGAAAATAAACTGCTATAAAATTCACTTATCGGTCAGCCACTGCAGATTCTACTTCACCTGAATATGCACCGTGAAGAGTCGAAACATGTGTCGTATTGTTGACGGTGGTTTGTCTTTCCTAGTGTATAGGTGTTGGAAATAGCGGTGCTAAAATTAGTGGTGACAAGATTAGTGGTGGTGGGGTAATGCGATTGAGGGAGGGTGGGAGTTGCTCTTCAAACTAGGTAAGGCATATCATTCTATTTTATAACGCGGATCTTAGCTATTTATTTTTTTACATCCTTAATGCCGAAAAACTTTAAACTGCTCTCTTGCAAAATGCCTAAACTGCCGTTGAAGAAGATTAATTAGTTCTTACCATCCCTCAAGTGTAATATCCCTCTACAAGATGCAGGACTGCACAAGCTTGATTGTGAATGTGATCACTCTTACATATAGTACAAACAAAAATATCAATTAGAAACCACGTAAAAGAACATACCACTGATGTAAAGCACCGACGCTCCGGAAGGTCTGCAGTATGTCAACATAGTACGTACAACATATGTAACATACAGGATCGTCTGAGCCTATTATTTACAAACCCAAAATTATATCAGTTTTGATAAAACGTTCCTCGAAAAGAACACCCATTTCTACAAAGGATGATTCGAGAGTCTATTAAAATTACAAAAAATACATCCTAATATCAATAGAGAAGACGGCTGGGTGCTATCATGTTAGGGATCCATAATTAATAAAATTAAATCCACACCCAAGCATACTACTGAAAGTCTTCAGGATACTGTAAGCTCGTTCTGCGTAGATTGGACCAAAAATTAGTTATTACAAGTTGAATGTGGCCTTCATTAACTCTGACATCAGGACGTCAAACACGTGTCCCTTGGCGATGGGTGCGGTAAAGTACCCGAAATTTAGATAATCGTAAAATTATATTTATTCCAAATTATGGATAATTTATTTTTGTTGATAATTAGTGAGACAAAAAGAAGAATAGAATACATTAGAATAGAATCATTTTTATTCAATATAGATTACAGTACATAATACTTATTGAAAGTCATTTTTTTAATTTTACCACTGGTTCGCAAAAAAACCTCTGACCTGGGAAGGACCAGCAAGAAACCCAGCGGGAATTTTTTTAAAAGCACAATTTACAATATAATATTTTATACAATTGTTATGAAAACATTTAGAAACAGCATGGTAGTGATCACCTCATTACGAGGGGTTATTATCAGTCATGTACTCTTTAGTAGTATACTAACCCTTACCAGACAATTTTTGCTTAATAAATAATTTAAACGGTTTGATAGATAATGTCTGCATATTTTGAGGGACTTTGTTGTAAAAGCGTATGGGCCAACCCATGAAAGAATTACTGACTCTTTGGAGTCGAGTAACTGGTACAACTAACTTGTGCTTGTTCCTAGTATTTACAGAATGTACATCACTATTTTGAATAAAACAATTTTTGTTTTTGTGTACATACATTAAATTCTCGTAAATATATTGAAAGCCCAAAGTTAATATATCTATTTCTTTAAATATTTCTCTAAGGGATTCCTTCGGACCTAGGTTATAAATTGCTCTTAGATAGAACAAAGATAGTTTGAATGTTAGACGCATTACCCCATAGCAAGATTCCATATGACATTATGCTATGGAAATAACTAAAATAAACTAATAGCTAGCTAGCTATCTGTTTCAACACATATAAATCATCTAATCTTTTTCACGGCATATGCTGCAGAACTAAATTTGCTAGCTAGTTTAGATATATGAGGGCCCCATTGAAGCTTTGCGTCAACTGTAATTCCGAGAAAAACAGTGGATTCAAAGCGGGAAAGTGGATTCAAGAGGGACTTAGACAATTATTTCACAATTCGGAGCCGACAAAGAAGAATGTGAAATAATCGAAAATGACCGGAACACAGCAGTGTGTGCACAAGTTAAATAGTACCGTATTGAAATGCATGAAATTATGTGAAAAATAATTTTATACTTACCTGGGAATATAGACGGTACGTCCAGAGGCGACATCAGCACGATTAATGGCTGTCCGAAATGTCGAGGAATGTTTTGAAAAACGTACGAATTGTCAGAATCAATTATGATAAAGAGCGGACAGCGGGTGAAAGGGTATAGGTCACCTGGGTGTATGCACTGTTGCTCTTTAAACTTTGATGAACCAGGCTTTGAATCTCGGGATTGGTCTTTGTCCCTATCTCTTTCCCTTTCCCTTTCCCTCTCCCAATCTCTTTCTCTATCCTTTTCCCTTTCGTTATCCCTATCTCTATATATTTCAGTCTTCATATTAGTTATGAGGCCGCCAACGTCGTAACCACCTGCAAAAATGGTACCAATTGAAAACTTGGTTGACTGTTATTTCATTGGTAATTCAATATTTTGTTCATTTGATTCTTTGTCTTTTATAGGGAAAAATTGATGGTAATGTATGTACTCGTAAGTATACTTGGTACTTTTCCTTTCTATCATCATCATAATCATTACATCCCACCACAAGTCCACTGCTGAACATAGGCCTCCCCCAAGAAATTCCTTTCTATATCATTCTATTGTTTTTAGAATTATTATGACAGAATGTTGAGACAGATGTTTACATAAATATTGATCTAGGATCTACAATGTCAACAAAACGCTAATACGCTAGCAAATTACTCAATATTATTCATGGTATCATTTCATCAACATCACTGTAAATATTTGAAAATTATTATTTTTTTAATTTTTAGCATACATCACGTAAAAAATATTCGACATGATATAGAATACAAATATGTTACAATCGTTCGCGTTGATGTACTTATGATGTAAAATTATTATAATTTATAGAAATATTCCACTCAACTCAATATTAAAAAATTGTCACTCAAAAGCAATCGTTTCACAAAAGTCATATGAAACGATTCGAGGATTTTTGTTTTATTTCTGTTTACATTTTTCGGATTAGCGCGAGTAATACTCAGTAGAATACTCGTAAAGACGAAAACTGAAACTGGCGATGGGCAGCAGCATCTTCATTCTTTATATATACAACCAATGTTATTTAAGAGAGGTCTCTAAGATTGTGAAATTGTTTTAGAGACGAACGCTGCTTATGATGTCATGTTTAAATTATAAGTACTAATTTATCACGTTTCGAAACTTACAACTCTGAGAATTGAAATATTATTATGTGAAATCTGCTCAGGTGCAATGTTCGGCACATTGCTCCCGCACTAATAGGGGCAGGTTTTTTGTTGCTTACACTCTTCATATTGGCATATTTACTACTTAAATTAAGGCTGCAGTTGTCACATGATCTTATGTATTTTACTTTATCCTATGGTGTGAGTGAGGGTAGGTGATAAAATATCTAACAACGCCAGCACATGGTAGAAGAAGAGGTATTTGATCACGCCCGTCAGATTAAAAAATTACACGTGATAATTTATTTGGGCATTAAATATTCTATACTTCGCTAAGTTAATAATATTGGATTTAAATATCTTAAATTAACATAAATAATTTGCTTCGTGATTTATTTAAATAGATGATAATATTAAATAATAATTTGACTGCAAGTAAACCAACATCACACAGCATTACATCGCAATACAAATACAAAATTGAACGTCGGAAACCAAAACAAAATACCCAATAGATAACATTAGGAAACTATTAATATTTTAAAATAATTGTAATGCAAGTAAAAAAATTCATACGTTTTAAGTGATTTCTAAGGCAGAAAAAAAAATTAAAAATAATTAATGATACGCGATCTTTGCGCTAGACTTATAAGTTATGCAAAGGATTTACTGAAAATTATCAAACTACTACGAATCTTAAGTGAGATTTATAAATTATTGATCGCATTCTAAACAGTGAAATGTTTCGAAAAGTCACACAAGTTATAATTCTGTAATTAGAGGAAAGGATTCATTACCATCTTCTAGGTTTTTTATAGGCGGAACTATAAGAGCTTCAGCAGATATGTAAAGGAGAAGAGCTCCATTGGATGGTAGGTCGTAACAGCCGCTAGCAAGGTACACCAGGATCTGGGCTGCCGATGGCCTAAATAGCAAATATTTGTGGGGATTCTCACGACGCGGCGTGACATCCCCACCAACATGTGGCGTGCGTGAGTTATATCCTGGAACAATGAGAAAGCCCTGAAAATGTTTATTATTTTTTTTTATCTATATAGTTTTCTCATCTGGTTGAGCTGTATAAATATTTAACTAATTGTAAATGAAAATAATAAACATTCATAAATATCGATAAAATAAAAAAAATACATAAATAAATAAAAACCCAACCAAATGGAAGCTCTTGACAGCGCAATTATTATTATTATTATTTGATACATGCCTAATTGCTAACAGATGATAGCATCCAACCATTGAGTTATAATGGTACGTAGTACATTAAAACTCAATGCATTCAATACGCTTGTAACATTAGATACATTAAATTAACATACCAATTTTAAGCCATAATCTTAATTAAATAAACATATAACATAAAATTACAAAATAAATCACATTAAATAAATTTATATATATATATATATATATGTTTATGCCCAAATTGGACCATATTGAACGCCCTCCAATTGCGTTCGAGCTGTCGCGTCACCCGATAGTATGTAGGTGAAAAAACGCCGCCAGGTGGGGCGGCGGCGTGCGGCTTGTGTGGCTCGACGTGTGGGCGAAGGGAGTTTAGTTACCTACAGGCCGCGATGCGGGAAACCCGCGTATCTAGGTCATCGCGGCCGAAGGCGCGCGACCGTGTAGAGTCCAGATAGTTAGATTAAGTGCGTGTTACTTCCTTACGTGGATATGTGAATTTAGCAATATTTAACTTGTTCGGGGATGCGGAATGGTGCACGCGCGCGTCGAGTAGATACACGGTCTAGGATTCGAACCGCGCATTCCTTGTTCGAGAACTTCTACCGGTTGATTGTCAGGAAATCATTATAATTGTGCCGTCGCGTTAAGTGCCCTTTTTTGTGTGTTGGTTGGTTTGTTAGTTTACGTGTCAACGAGGCGTATTTTGAATTCTTTTCGCGACGTGGTGTTTTGGTGTCGAATGAAGGAACTTAGTTGTGTTTAACGCTGAACCGTATAACTCATTAAGAGATCGCTTTAGTTGCCTATTTGTAATTTTGTGATAAGTGAATCCGGGACATTGAATGTCGAATTTCGAACTACTGTCCTTACTGTGTCGGGTATCACGTGTTCGATTCTACGATGAATGTGGAATTAGGCGAGTTTAAGTTAGTTAAAAGTACAATGAAGCTGATAGACTAAAAAAGTGACAATGAAGAAAGAAATGGTCCAGCGGTGGAGTCTGCTGGAGCGATGCAGCATAGTGGGGCATCCTGGAACTCGGCCGCTGCTGGTCGCCTAAAGTGGTCAAGGTCTCAGACATTTACACATCACTGAACACTACTTGCCATTCACATTACACCCACTCACGGCCTGACCGAGCCTTGGTGCGAAGTTAGCTTCTGATACTGGTACGTACTATGTGTTTCTAGCATTCTCCATTAGCTTCTAGCATTATAGGATATTTTCATATAGCCATTCGGGCTCGAACCCGCGGCTGCCCGTTAAACCTTCCGCTCATGGGCCCCGGATAGTGAACCTTTGCAAGGGCAACTGCGGGCCGTAACATTTTGGTAGCAGGGAGCGTTGGTTGGATTGGTTTAATTTGGTGTCTACAATCACGCCCGGCCGTAATACGTAAAAATAAAATTCTTTTCTTTTGTTGCTTTGTTGCTTGCTTTTTTTTGTTTGTTAGCGGATAGATGTGAACGCCACGACCGTGGGTTGCGCAAGCGGGAGTTTGCTAGAGCTAGATATGCGTTGGGTAGGTAGATGGTTATTATCACGTAATCGGATAATTATCGTTGTCGTATAATTATAGTTGATTAATTATCGAAGGGTCGGTTGTCTGAGCGAGGCATTTTTTGTAGATCGACTGTGATGTGTATCTGTCTGTATTTGTATTGTGGTTTTTATTTGATCTAATAAATGGTAATTTGTATTTGTGTAATTTGTATTTAACTTGATTTGATAGAAACGGTATTTGTTACTCGTAAATTTTTTTTGTGTTTGTTATTTGTTAATTTGTAATTTGTATTTGAGCCGCGTAGGAATTTGTATTTAGAAAGTGATGCCGTCGCGCTGCCAGGGCTGTCACCAGGCCGTTTGCATCGGGGTGCGAACGGCGTTTCCTCTCTGGGCTTTCCCGAGCCCTCGACTCCCACGGGCAGGGGTGCTCAGCCACGCCCCCTGTTGGGGGGTTGTTCCCCCAGGGGCGGGGGGTCATCACCCCCTCCCTCAGTATGTTGAGAGGGACTTCACTGCCACTCAGCGGTCAGCTAGACCCTTCTCACCCTCGTCAGCTGAGTGGCCGCGGCTCGGGGTACTACCGTTCCCCCCTTGATGTAGGCAGCCCCAGCTAGGTAGCTGCTGCCCTAGCTCCCACCACGGCCGCCTCCACTAATTCTGTGAGCCGTCAACAGCACATTTGTCAAACTGTTCTATTGTCGACGGCCTCAGTGAGGGTGTACAACCTGAGCGTCCATTGTTTAACGGTACGCGCCTTATTGGTTCCGGGTTCACAACCGGGTTGGCCTCTGCTTAGTTGTTGGGAAGACTAGGGCTCCACGGGAGCGTTGAATTGCGCTGTTAGGGATTGTTGGATTTGGTTTTGGTCGAGCACTTAATTAACGATGCTTTGAATTAAAATTAAAAATGGTTTGTGCCTTCCACGAAATGTTCATATTTGTGGTGGTTGTGATTAAGAAAGCGAATTAAGTGTGCTCTCTGAGTACTTATACATATGTTTTGTAATTGTATTTGATTACTGTGTTTGTTTTGTTGCAAGGAAAATTGAAATTGAATGATGTGCACTTTGAATGCTTGTGCGTATGTTTTGTGATTGTGTTTGATCATTGTGTTTTGTTGAAAAGAAAATTGAAATTGGATAACCCTATTTGTGTCGAAGGGAATAAGAGTTATTCCTCTCTTTGTTTTCACATTTTGTTGGCACTGTCGAAGATATTTGTTTGGAATGAGAAATAGGGCTGTCTCTTACGTTTCTCGTTTTGTTTAATTTGTCAGTTTGACCTATGTGCATCGGTGATTAATTTGTTTGAATTAATTCTGTAGTTGAACATTGATGCTTTTGAAAATTAGTTGAAATATGAGCATAGGACTACTTGTCTAAAAGGCTAGCTAGTTTGGAGATTATCAGATTGAAATCAGCTGCCGCACTATTGAGTAAATGATTATATGGTGGATGGCTTGGTTATGCCTACTTGTTTGAAAATTCATTCTAGGGACTATCTGTGCGTTTCGTTTGGCTCTCCACAGACGACGTTCATGGGGAATTTGTGGGTGCTCTCTCCACTGAAGCTTAGGAGGCCACGCTGGGCCGCTTCGTGTCGCGTCGCTGTTTGCGGACCTGATCCGGTCGGATTGCGGAACGAATCATAGGGGCACAGATAGGTGTTTGAAAGAGGTAGTCGGACTTCTGTCCAGTACAGGACTTGTTAAGTTGCTGCGATGCTCACCAGGGGCATCCAGCGGAGGTTGACCCTCCGGCTTGTCACATTGGGGCATTCTTTTGAGGCGGTGGATTGCAAGATCTGATGGGGTGCCTAAGGTGGCCTAGTTTTGGTGTAGATTCGGTCTTGCAACGTGCCGTCGCGACCCTGTCCCGCTTGTCGGTTTGCTCGCGGACATAAGTCCTTATGTCCGGGACGGGGGTTTGTTTGTGCCCAAATTTGGCCATGTTGAACGCCCTCCAATTGCGTTCGAGCTGTCGCGTCACCCGATAGTATGTAGGTTTTTTTTATAGGATTAGGGTGACAAACGAGCACACAGACCACCTGATGGTAAGTGGTTGCTGTGGCTCATAGACATCTACATCTATCTTCGATTAAGAATCAAAATGCAGATGCGTTGTCACCCGTGAGGACTAAGATGGAATGCCTCATTTCCAGTAAGAAGGGTCTCCGGTTCTATACACCCACCATACGAAACACAGCAGCGTTAAGCTGCTATTTTACGCTGGTATTCTGTGAGAGCGTGGTCCTTCCCCGGTCGAGCCGACCCATTCGTGCTACAACTATAATATAGCTGCAGCATGGCTTTACCACGTATAAAAAGGTGAAAAAACGCCGCCAGGTGGGGCGGCGGCGTGCGGCTTGTGTGGCTCGACGTGTGGGCGAAGGGAGTTTAGTTACCTACAGGCCGCGATGCGGGAAACCCGCGTATCTAGGTCATCGCGGCCGAAGGCACGCGACTGTGTAGAGTCCAGATAGTTAGATTAAGTGCGTGTTACTTCCTTACGTAGATATGTGAATTTAGCAATATTTAACTTGTTCGGGGATGCGGAATGGTGCACGCGCGCGTCGAGTAGATACACGGTCTAGGATTCGAACCGCGCATTCCTTGTTCGAGAGCTTCTCCCGGTTGATTGTCAGGAAATCATTATAATTGTGCCGTCGCGTGTGTGTGTGCCCTTTTTTGTGTGTTGGTTGGTTCGTTAGTTTACGTGTCAACGAGGCGTATTTTGAATTCTTTTCGCGACGTGGTGTTTTGGTGTCGAATGAAGGAACTTAGTTGTGTTTAACGCTGAACCGTATAACTCATGAAGAGATCGCTTTAGTTCCCTATTTGTAATTTTGTGACAAGTGAATCCGGGACATTGAATGTCGAATTTCGAACTACTGTCCTTACTGTGTCGGGTATCACGTGTTCGATTCTACGATAAATGTGGAATTAGGCGAGTTTAAGTTAGTTAAAAGTACAATGAAGCTGATAGACTGAAATAGTGACAATTAAGAAAGAAATGGTTCAGCGGCGGAGCCTGCTGGAGCGATGCAGCATAGTGGGACATCCTGGAACTCAGCCGCTGCTGGTCGCCTAAAGTGGTCAAGGTCTCAGACATTTACACATCACTGAACACTACTTGCCATTCACCTTACACCCACTCACGGACTGACCGAGCCTTGGTGCGAAGTTAGCTTCTGAAACTGATACGTACTATGTGTTTCTAGCATTCTTCCATATAGTTTATTATGATAGGACATTTCCATACCGCGGCTGCCCGTTGAAACTTCCGCTCATGGGCCCCGGATAGTGAACCTTGGCAAGGGCAGCTGCGGGCCGTAATAATATATATTCAACATTAGTTATTAAAATAATTGCCTCTAAGTAAACAAATAAAAACATAAAATAAAACAAAATTATCTAGCCAAATTAATATTACAACATTATTAAAACAGTAAATAAAGTCAATGTCAGGGTTAAAAAATTATACAATGTCAGTTAGAATATATCTTATATACTAATAAGTTTATATAAGTCCAGATCATCGTACTGAGCAAGTATATCACCAATCATTCGTAGTGCGCGGACAGTGGGCGCGTGCTCGCCGCGCCTGGTGCGCGCGACAGGACGCGCCAAACGAGGCCGGCGGCGCGGGGCTAGCTGCAGCCCTGACTCCTGCTGTATATTACGGGGAACTAAGATGCTTACACTCTCTAGTATCTGCGGACTATCGATCTTGTGATACAGTATAGAGAGATAATGTATCAGCATAAGCATAATCCTCCTAAATTTCAGCGTTTCCATATCAACCATGCCGTTTGCAACCGTGCGTGATTCCATTAATGACTTAAGATATTCGCAATGCATTAATACAAAAACAATTAGAAGGTTGTAAACTGGCAGTTTTTCGTTAAATGTAAATTGCTATCGTAAGATTGATGATGATTGTAAAGGAAATTTAAATTCACACAAGCAGCTTTGCATTTATAAGAAATTTGGTTTTCTTAGTTTTCTTGTAATACAAACCATCATACAACGAAGTATGTACACTGCAGTTCATAAAAATAAAATAGAAGTTTTGGTGTATCAGTCAGTTACACCATTCATCTGAGTACGACAAAGCTTTGGTGAGTTGTTGTATTTTTTTGACAAATCAGAGGCTTTGCAACGCGTGCCGGGAACAGCTAATTAGAACAGCTTATATAAAAACAATTTAATTTTATTATATAAAATATTATATTATACAAATTAACCAAACAATATATCTTCGTTACATAAAATTATGTACATGAACAAGTTGCAATAGAAAAATAGGCTTACTGAATGAAAACAACTGAAACCGATGAAATGGAATAAGTTTACCTTTATTAATCTGTGGCATGGTAAAACGATATCGAGGAGACTCGGTGTAAATTTGAGGCATGTCACCCGTTGGCTCCCATTCCAGTGTTTGCAGTATTCGGTACATATCCATTGTGAGTTCAGAGAATTTTACTTGTTGTGAGATACTGCCCACAATGACAGCTTCTTGTAGGGATATAGATGTTTGTGTCAGCCTTTCTGGAGGCGGAACGCACATTACATTTAATCTGTAAACAGAAGCCAGTTTTTATAGGTGTATTACCTGAACGATCCAAAATAAGGAAATGTTAGATTTGTAAACTATGTACTATATTTTTTCAATTAAATATATACAGGATTATTTTGCAAAACCGGCCAAATTTGCAGAGAAGATTAGATTCGGAATTAGTAATATAGGCGAATGTTGAAGAAAATTAAAAAAAAATATCTCAATAATTCTGTCCTTTTTATCTTTAAAATTCAAAATGCGTGATCAGAATGCATTATTTTAACCGACTGTTATCTTTATACCAATCAATATCCCTTTCGAAATAGTTTTGATTTTACTAGAAACTAGGAATCCGCCGTGGTTTTGCTTGGGTCTTCCGTCTATTTATGTGGCATTATTTATATTTAAGATAATCAAAGGTCATTGTTCGCGCCTAGCGCTAGTTTCAAGGATTGACGCGAGAGGGCGCTCGGCGCGGTGCATTCATACCGGTTTGACTTTCGGTCGTGCGAAAAACGCACAAGGGCAGTCAGTCGTCTGCCAGCTGTGCTAATGTCTGCACGCTGTTAATTTTGTGCGGGAACCGCGGAATAGTTAGGGCGTCTAGTAAATATCCTGTCTAGGAATTATAACGTGCATTCTCTGTTTGGATAGCCTTTCCCGGGACTTATTGGGTCCGACTCAGAATCTGTATAAGTGCATTCGACAATATTAGCTAGTGCGGCCTCTGATATTCTAGAACTAACTGTTGCTACGCGAAACGGTTGTGACCTTTGATCCGTAAACTCCGTGTGAGTTTTGTGCGTTAACCTTATACCCAGCGATAGTTAGTGGCTTCTGTAAGTTAGTTAATCGTACGATAGAGTTAATTGACTGTCATCGTGACGAAAGAAGAAAGTGACTGTGGACAACCTCGGAAGGCCCCCTCAAGTTGGAGCGGTGTCGACGCTCGGGCTGCTGCCGACGGCCAAGGTCTAGGTTCAATCACCATCAGTCACACCCAGATACACATCACATCACTTATTTCCCTTTCACTACACAACCACATGTGACCTGACCGACTCCGGAGGGACCAGTCGCCTTGGATATAGGTAAGTAAGCTCCGCCTAATTCCTCTGCCGGTCGACTGGCCGTAGTATAGAACGCTCCCCCATATATTTTAGTGTAATTCGAGAGATTCCACGTGGCCACATTGAGGCCCGACCTACGTCTGCTCGGGAAGTCTTCAGGTCATGGGCCCCTGAGGATTTGACCCTTTAAGGACCCTTAAGCAGCCGTAGGCCGTAACAGTCATTTTTATTAAATTTTATTTATTAAAAAAGAAATCTCCAAGGTTTTGTATAAAATATACCCTAGATCGTAAAGTCCATCAGAATCGGTTCAGCCATTCTGAAGATAAGACAAAACAATTCGGACGGACAGACGGGAAGACAGAGGAAAAATTTAAAATATTTAATTATGTCTTAGTATTACATAGTAGCATGCAAATAAACCACTGAGTTTATTAGAAACTGGGTATTTCAATATTACATACAGATACTTAATTTTTTTTATTTTTATGTACTTATAAATAATATGTTGTTTGATATCAGCAGTCAGTCAATTAGTACCATAACCATATAAAATTATTCAAAGAATTAAAAATAATGTTTTAAAGATTAAAATCATACCTGTGGGATAGTACAATTGTATAGTTTTCGGGATGAATAACGGATACCACAGATTCAGCGATGATAAAAGCTCTAACTTCATCCAAGACGACAGTCCATTCTATTTGGTCTTCCGGGTCGTATGTCTTACCATACTCAACTATCTGTTTCTCCAGTTCTTTAATAAGATCTCGTAAGAGGCTCAGTTTTTTGAGTAGGAGGCAAACCACAATGTAGCGGGCGTAGTAGCGCAACTTTTTAACCATTAGCTCGCACTTATCTTCTTTGCAGGCCTGTGTGTAATATCTGCGCCCACGTATTGCGGAGTAGAAGGAAAATGCTTCACTGAGGTATGCAGTTTCACTTGTGCGTAGGCTGGGTGAAATCAAATAAAAATTATCCATGATTATCGAATGAAAACAGTCACAAATACAGAAATACAGTAAAAAAAATAAAAGTAAACTCGAAGAAGAAAGTGAAGATAAAGATGAGAACTCTAAAACTCCGCAAAGTCGAGCAGTTTCCGTTTTGTGACTGAAAAGAAGACTAAAGGAGATCTGTTTTGGTGGTATCTTGATTTTGTTTTAAAATGCTTACTGTATAATATTAATGATTTGTAAGGTAAAGTCGTTACTGGGAAATATTCCTTTTATTTAAATAATTTCGAGAGTAATTTCTAATAGTATATTATTATGATAAAAAAAAAACTTTAGTTGTAATTTACACGAGACCGCTTTAAAAGTTCACTATATCATTAAAAAACAGTTGAATCGTTAAACTAACCTCGAAGATATATCGTTGAATACATAAAAAAGAATACAGATAGTAATAATCGTAAAAGTTGGCTAAAATAGAAAATTTAAGACCTCTAAAAAGTCATTCTTAATACAAAATGCAAATAACATTAAAAAACCCATTCTTTGAGTTAATCTAACTAAATAGAGTAAGATCGAAAATAATATAGTTTACATGATACTTTGCGGAAATCTATTATATGAAAGATTATAGAATTAATCAGTTAAGATCCGCCCGATTAGAATTGAGCCAAGCAGATCTTAGCCAATATTGGTTAACATCATCAATCAAAAATATGTGTATATGTACTAAAGTGATAGTAGAGTTGTCTGATAAAAATATCTGTATACGTACTAAAAGTGATAGTAGAGCTGTCCGATAAAAATATGTGTATACGTACTAAAAGTGATAGTAGAGTTGTCCGATTTTTGATGCGATTTCTCCAATTTGCCAGCGTTTCAATCCGTATTTGCTATCCAGAATGTCTCGATGCAGTTGTTGGAATTTCCACAGTTTGGTGTAAACGTCAAACGTTCGTACGAAATATGAATGCCATTGCCTGTGACCATATTGCGGCAGCTCCCTGTAAGATGATAAAACCGTTCAAGTAAATGTATATCGCAATAATGTTCAAAGTAGTAGAAAATTGCAACTTTTCAAACTCCATAAAAAACAAACAATTTTTTCACCGTGTAGGCGGCCACTTAAGATAATTTTCTACTCAATATCAATCCGTGCGTGTAGGAAAAGGCAACAGAGGATAATGGAACATGGACAAAACCATTCTCAAAAAAATGTGGTTGCCAAACCTCATACGAAACGTTGCAACTATCGAAAATATCCGTCTTATGTCGCAATCTATAGGGAAGGGCTTGTTCAACAGTGCACTTTTGATAGGACGCTATAATCAATGAAAAATAAGCAATGTTAACCCTCTTGAGTAAACAGAAGGATAATTAATAGAATTTGGTGTTATTTTTCGGAAATCTATTGTATTACAGTTAGTAAGAATTACTTTGCCAATATCCGCTCAATGAAACAAAATGATGTGTCTTACCTAGTTTGAATGGTAAACCCCTGCCACGACTAATACTAGCACTACTACTTCCAACATCACTACACTAGGAAAGACACACCTCCGACTACGAGTATAATACAACACGTGTTTCGCCCCTAAAAGAGGCATCCTCATATGAGGATCATTTATGCATATCATTTTATTTCAATGAGCGGATATAGGAAAGTAATTTTTACTAATTTAATTTTAAAGAGAAGAAAACGTGAATGCAAACTTGTTTACTAACAGTATTCATTAAATGTATTGAACGTAATTAACTTTGGCCTCTCAGAATATTTACGAAAATTTAATGTATGTTCACAAAACAAAGATAGTTTTAGTAAAAAAAGTGATATACATTCTGTAAACACTAGGAACAAACACAAGCTAGTGATGCCAGTTTCTCGACTCCACTGAGTCAGTAATTCATTCTAGGGGCAATGTATACGCTATTACAACAAGGTCCTGGAAAGTGTAGAGGTTCTCTCTATTACCAAGTTTAAATGCTTTACTAAATTGAAACTATATAAAAAGGGTTATTATAGTATAAATGAATACATGGTTGATAATAACCCCTGGGAATGAGGTGGTCGCTTCCAAGCAGTTTCTAAAATAAATTTTATAAATAGTTCGTAATCATATTGTAAAATTTATTTAAAAAAAAAGTCCCGCTGGGTTTCTTGCTGGTTATTCCCAGGACAGAGGGTTTTTTTTTCGAACCAGTGGTAAAGTAAAAAATGACTTTCAATAAGAATGACACATGTAATGTATATTGAATAAAAATTATTCTATTCTCTATTCTATTTTATTCTATTCTATTCATCAGACAGGGATTATTCTGGACTCTATAACAATGTTTTAGTTTCAGCAAACAAACTTTTATTTCCCTGAGGAAATATTTTTAGATTACTATACTGCATTAAAATAGCTAAATAATATTATACTTATGAAAATGAACATTTTATTAAGAAGGGTTTTGCATAGTGGATTATGTTATCAAGAATGCTTTTGTTTTGTTCTTAAATTCAATTAATTAGATTCACTGACCTCTATATACAAGATTAGATTCCAATTACATTTATATACTCTACCTATAAATAAAATAATATAGATAAAGAAAATATATTTGATGAATCGGTTTGAACGCATTTGCATTTTTATCTCGAATTGATGACACATCAGACCGGTTTGTCCTCACTAAAATAAATAGTAATAATGATTTCTGGTCTTAAATATATAAATACTGATTTTGAAAAACGAATTATGCAACCTATACAACCCTCTTTTTTGAATGTAACTTATTTGCCAATTCTTTTGCCTTTATATTAACAATTTTTTGAAATTCCGACGATTTGAGTGCATGGCAGCACCCCCTGTTACGAGCGTACTAAAATCGGCAGATTGTGAACATATTAAGCAGTTGCCCACACTATTCCATCACATTTGACTAAAAATCCTTATAAAAGAAAACCTTTGTATACCAAGTCTGATTCGTGAATCTAATGTAATTTAAAAAAAAAAATCCTGATTTCAATATAGTTTGTATTAAACATGAAATGCTATCCCGGGAAAACCGTGATGTTAGGATGTTCAACTTATAATTGAGGACATTAAGCCCTGTGGGTGGTATTATACGGAAAAAAATGGGATTTCAAAATAATTAAACCCGATAAACTCGCGAAAATATAAGAAATCACAGTACTTTATTGAAATTGTAAAACGATTCTAGCACCAACCTCAAGCTGTTGAAGAGCTGCTTCGACTTCTCCAACAGATGACAAAACTCAATAATAATTTTCCTTTCGTGGTCTTCGAGCGAGTTCATTCTTGATTTTGGCTTATGTACAAATCGATTGTCTATATGACTGTCGTAATGGGAAAATGCAGGAATAACACTTATATTATAAGGCTCGGATGTATAGAGCCGTCCATGTAGTTCATCATACTCATAATAGTTAGTCGAGATATCCGTCCTCGAAGAATATATACGAAACCTGTATTCACTACTTGGAGAGAGATCCTCCCATGAACAAGTTCGTCTAACAGGAAACGCGTAAGAATGACGACGGCTATCCTCGTCGGGATCGTATGGGGCTGGTGATGGGGGTGATGATAGGCTTGGGTATGACTGATTCTCCAATGATTTGCTTCGGGGACGAGATTTAGAGTGGTGAGTGCCAGACACAATAGGAGTGGCTCGTGCTAATTGATATTGAATTGAGTTTTTCTGCAATTGGTCATAGTTCCGCCGTCCAGAGTATTTGTGTACAGTGCCTTCAGTGGTAGAACGCTGGCTGGATGTAGATGATTGAAAGCGTGTTCTTCCCTCGTGCTTGACAGATGATGAGTGATATTGTTTTGACGTCCCCGGTTGAGGGGACGATTCGCGGCTGCTTGGTTTTGCTTGCAGCGGTGATTCAGGGGTTTGTGTGCCTTTACTACCACTACAATTAGGATCGTAGACGGGTGACTCAAAGGACTTTGCCTGAGGCAACTGGTTGGGCTCGGCGAATGTGATACGTTTAATCTTTTTCTCCTTTTTTCTTTTCGTCAAGATTCGGGGTATAGTGGCGTTAAATCCCAATTTTCGTGACCAGAAAGTCTTTAGCGTTGATGAATGGTCTTCTAGTGACTGTCGAGACGATGAAGATGAAGAGTTTTGTACTAGAAGAGAAAAGTAAGAGTTTAGTTACGTTACTGAATATATAAATCATTATTGATTTATTAACTAAATAATTTCTTAATGATTTCTTATATTTACGCGAAGACAACACATTAAATGAAACTAATTTTTACGTGCTGTAAAGCACCCGAAACGTCGGGATTAAATTGTTTTGGAAATTGTAATTATTGTATACCCTTGTTAAATGTCGTACTTTGAAAACTAAATACGGGTATTCTTATTCACCTTAACAGCCTATCTGGGGGCACGGCAGTGCCCCCGCCAAGTCGAGCAAAAAAGCGGCATGGCCGTACCATCATTTTTTCGAAGCAGTTCAGGCCATTTTCGAAACACTATAACTTCGCTGTGGATAAAACTAGAAGTCTGAAAAAACACTGTGTAAACTCGAAATATTTCAAATTTCATTAAATTTGAACCAGTAGTTTAAGAATTATAACTAGTCAAAGTTTATTAATTTTGTCACTCACTCACTGACTGATCATCAAAATTCTAAGGCACTTATAGCAAACATAGAAGCTTCAAACTTGTAATACAATTATTGTTTAGTATATAAATCGGTCCAGTTTTCGAGATACACCAACTGCATAAATAACTTTGTGATCCCATATAAATATATAGGATTACAAAGTTACAATTGGAGTGAATGAATCAGTGTACCTATATATGTATAATATAATGGAATAATAGGTTTAGATAGGTACCTAGATATAACTATCCACAAAAAGAAATGAGATGCCATCAAAAACATAACTTGTAAAAAACCCAGGTCTCGCAACTCAGTTCCGTAAAAAGTTGTGAGATCCATGCTATACCAAGTCGGTTAATTTATGCAGTCCCTACTTAAGGGTTCTTCTGTCTTAAGTTATTACGTAATAAGCTAACCTAAGAACATCTTATAGTGACCATATCAATATTTTAAATCATTTATGTTTTAAATAAATAGATTGACTTGGCAATCGCACTAAACAATCTATTTTAATATAATATGTATTACTTGAGAAATACATTGAGTTTTCATGCGATGGCCAAGTCAATCTATTTATTTAAAATATAAAAGATTTTTAGTATTGATGTGGTCACTATGATATGTTATTAGGTTAGATAATTACGTAATAACTTATGACAAAATTACCCTTAAGTAGGGACTGAATAAATGAACCGACTTGGTATTACATGGATCTCACAACTTTTGACGATAGAAGAACTGAGTTGCAAGACTTGGTTATTTTACAAGTTATGTTTTTAATGGCATCATAAATCTACCGTTGAACATAGATCTCCCCTATAGATTGCCTCGTAGGAGGGATATTTGCCATTATTGCCACGCTTGGAAAGCGGGTTGCCTACCACATTTTTTTATTTATTCAGCTGTTATCAGTAAGATGCTGCTACCCATTTCCTATTTCAGTTTGTCTCTGTTGCCTCTTACGACACCCACCGGATGATACGGGGTAGTGGATATTCTTACACCGCCACTACACGGTTAATTATATTCGTTCTATTTTTGTAGTTGTATTCTTCATAATCAGCTTTTAATAATCCACTGTTAAATATTTCCTAAGTGGTAGAGTCACGTTGCAGCTATATCATGGTTGCAGCACAAATGGGTCGACTCGATCGAAGTAAGACGACGCTCTCACAGAATACCAGCGTAAAATAACAGCTTCTGCTCCGTAGACCCTTCTTACTGAAAACGAAGCATTAAGATTAAACACTGAATGCTTTATTTTCTGTAAATAAAGGATCTCCGGTTATCCATCTACCATCTTAGTCCTCAGGGGTGACAACGCATCTGCACATTGATTCGTGATCGAGGATAAATGTATATGTCTATGCCAGCATCCACTTACTATCAAGTTTAGCGTCTCGTACCATTGACACTGGTCTCCGTTAATTTCTGGCGTAAACGATAGAGGTCTGTCACAAACTCACAGAATCTGGTGATGAATTTTACCACACCAAACATTTACATGTTTCGGTTATATGCATAGTGGACTAAATGAATGAATGAATAAAATTGTGAAATATACTGTGTGTGTGAAAATATCCGCAATTTAGCATAAAGGAACGTTAAGGTAACATTAAGTCATTTAAGCATAAAATTTAAGCATTATATGATTATACACCGGGTGACTTTTTATTGTGTGAATTAAAATAGAGTGCAACAGGTAAATGGAGTAGAAGCCTATGGTGGGGGCTTCCAAAGTGTGCGCCGTAGAGATTAATAACTTAGAGTTGGTAATTTTTAAACGGATAAACAGAATTTCTTGGAACATAGCTAAAACATTCTCGATTAAGACACCTTTCAAACAAAAAAGTTAATCAAAATTGGTTCTCCCGTTCAGGAGCCTTGACGCCACAGACAGACACACAGATACACAGATGCACACTATAAACTTATAACACCCCTCTGTATTCGTCGGGGGTTAAAGGGGATGCCTTAAAGCTCCGGCTCCGGAAACTAAAATTAGGTATTCACGGGTACAAAATAAGCTGCATTTTCAGCTGTAGCTGAAAATCAAGAGCAAATGTCGCTTAAATATTAATGTGGAGCAAGAAATGGTAATTGCGGTGTCGCGCCTTATCCCACGCTTTGAAAAAATGTGTGGAGATCGCCAAGCTCACACGTCACAATGACTCTTGTCTCAAATGCATTCTTGTGTATCAATATAAATATAATAACTCAGCTTCATATTGTTGATGTTTTAATTTTTGTGCCTATCTATCTAGTATCATTGTACCCTATTCCTACTAGCTAGAGCGCCTGAACATAACACTAAGACTGAGATATATAGATCGTACTTTGACCTTGATCAGACTTAGCTTACGAAAAACTTAGCTGAGTATAGCATAGCATAATCTTTGATTCTGAATTTATAATTATATCGATCTAAGATTAAGGCCCAGACAGTCCAAATATTAATGGATGCATCATTCCACGTATTATGTTTTTAACTTTACTGTATAAAATTAAAATATATATATTTAAAATCGAAAACAGTCCTAATTGTATTTCATAAATAAGTTCTTATTACATGAAAACTAGAACGGGCGTATGAGAACGGGAACGGATGAGATAAGTGCAAAATCAGAAAAGAAGAAAAAAAGTAAGATTTTAAAACATTGGAAATAAGATTGAAATTACGTAAATAGAAAATGGATTAATGCTATTTAAAACTAGCAGACGGCCTAAAACTAGCTATTTATTGTTATAATTAATTAGAGTAACATAAAAACAACAATTCAAAATTAATATGGTTGTTTTGAATAATATCCTGAGTTTTAGGTAAGTCGTTGATATCGTTGATTTAGGCTTTGCTAAGCGCGCACTCTGCAAGACTACGAAGTTAGCTATATAAATACCGACATTGTCTTAGCTCGAAAGTAAAGTCTGAGCAAAGTCAAAGTACGGTCTATACATCTCAGCCTAAATCTGTAAATGCGTCGCGAACTGAAAACGTTGAGTAACCCATTGGCCTATCGCATAGATTAAGAGGAAACTTTTGTAACGCCCTTGATCTTAAACGGGCTGCTGCTAAAATTTAATAAAATGTCAATGACTCTTGCTTCGTTCATTACACCCTAATTTTATTTTCGTGCAGTAAAAATTATTATGTTCGAACGGGGAAGGACTAAGCTCTAATATAATACTAGCGTAAAATAGCAGCTTAACGCTGATGTGTTTCGTACGGTGAGTGCAGAGAACCGTCTATCACACAGACCGTCTATCATACAGAGTGCAGAAAAGCATCTATTTATCGTTAGATACACGCGTGATCTTTTGTTACTCTAATTTAAAAAAATAGAATAAGATTCGCCTACCAAACATTTTAACTACGCACCCGAATTTTTACATTCTTGGAAAAATTCTATATCATGCACTTATTTATAAAATACTGATTAAAGAAATAAGAATTTGTATTGTGAGTTGCAAGTACATACTCGTAGTAATATATTCTTTGGTTTTGAGTGTCTGTTCACATGAGGAACTTAAGGTCTATTTCATCTGAGCATGCCACGCTTAAAGGCGAAACTCGTGTCGTATTATGAACGGTGGTATGCCTTTAATAGTATAGTGGTGTTGGGATTAAAGATGACGGGGATATGGCACGTCATTGAGGGAGGGCGGCAGGTGTTCTTCA